GTGCAAAATTCAATGGGCATGCTTAGACATCAAAAATAGCAAAGTGGCAAGGTTAAACATGTGGATTAGATAAACAAATATGGCGTGGTTACTACTCCGTGTATCTAGAGAATCTACTAGATAGATATATAGATAAATAATTCGTTTGTTGGCTGAATCACAGTACATTACAAGCAAGCTTATGACACATGTACAATGGTAATTATAAAGAAAAAGGCTAGTCTAGGTTTGCGGGTGTGATCTGGAGCATTATCCTGTGTCAGGTGTAGAGTTGAATGTATTGTGTCAGCAAAAAGGACCTGGGTCAACATTATGCCACAGTTCAGTTGAACTACGACACTGATGATTCTGCCAGGTTCTAAGGTGAGCCGGTAAAAAAGAAGTAACTCAGAATAGAGAATCAAGACTGATATTCTCACATAACACTATTTTGGGTTCTCGGCTATAAATATCATTTTCTAATTGGTTCTAACATAAAAACAAAACTTTATTTCTATGCAAAACCTTTGCCTTTGTTGCATTTGTGTTGAGTTGATATTCAATTATTTTTTGTGATGTTACTTTGTATTAATAATTATAACAAACTAGTGGAGTAATTTACCAAAAAATAATTGAATATCATTTCAATAGAAATTTAATTAAAGTTAATAGCGATATCTCTAACCAGGGTTGGCTGTAAAGTTACCTAACTGGGCGATGAAATACTTTCGTAGATTTTTCATAGATGGCGCTACGGCTCACAAGTCGTTGAAGAACCAAATACCCGTCACAAGCGCATAGGAAAATTCGTTCCGTGACTTAGCATAGCGATCGAATGTATCGAAGGATTTTTTTTTAATTATTCGATCTTTGTACTAATAATTATAACAAACTAGTGGAGTAATTTCTTAAAAAATAATTGAATATCAATTCAATACAAATATAACGTACAACATTTTCAGGTTTCTCTTTATTTAAAGACAAAACGGGGACAATATATTTCAAATTAATAGTACATTTCACCCAAAATTCTGCAAATTGATGATAAAGGACCTAGTAACGTGTAGATTTGCGAGATTGTGTAAATACCATTATGTAGCTATGTAAATAGCACAGTGACAGACACAAGATTAAAGCGTCAGAGGTATAACTACTCTTTTCAAATTAGTTGCTGCTTAATTACACAAAAAACAATACAGTCAAACTACAAACAGAACCTTCTTGAAAATTTGTTACATAGTGTAATAACTACATAAGTTTGTTAAGTAGCATTAGAGTTCCTTGTGAAAGAGTTCCTGAAATTATAGGCACATTGGACTTTCCAAGTTTTCAGGGTATTAATATTGGCCAATGTTCTTATGCATTTCTTTTGTAATACGAAGACATCCTTTATTAAACCTATTTGGTCATATCGTTCACAATGTGTGACATAATCAGCTAAACAAAAGACCACGGATCCACCATCTGTTAACCTGTTAGCCAAAAAAGGTCACAACAGTCTGTTAACCGTTTTCAGTTTCCCGAAAACCTAACCATGTAGGAGTCGAGCTCATTGTGAAAGAGTTCACAAAAAGGTAAGCAGTAATGTAAGCATTACTGCGTTTCGTGGTTACGATTTGAAGAGTAAGGGGTAGTATTGAAATTATAGACACTTATATAGATTTTAAGACTTTCGTGGTTATTCACTAAATGATTATCACTAGTATCAGGTTTCTTACCACGGTATGACTTCTTTTTTTTCCCGATATTTCGGAACGGTTGCACGCTCCATGGTCACGGGTTGACTGGACGGCGGCAGATGACAGCTTTATGAGCAGACATATCTGTCTACCCTCTTGCGAACCCGTGACCATGGAGCGTGCAACCGTTCCGAAATATCGGGAAAAAAAAAGAAAAAAGAAATCATACCGTGGTAAGAAACCTGATACTAGTGATAATCATTTATAGACACTTGTTAGGGACTTGTCAACTTATGATGGCGGGTGCAGTGGCAATGTACCTCTTTGTGATATGAAGCTCTATATGGCACTGCAACTGTTATGGACGACAAGCGTGTCTCTTACTGATACCAGGCGCACAACTTCTTCGTATCGTCGCTTAGTGTCATAAAAAAAGTGTTCTTGGTACTCATTACTATGTATTCGCGTGTATACAAATAACAAACAGGTCTAACCATATGTCAGCCGGTGATCGCGCTAACGATAACAAAGAACTTTAGACATAAAAGTAATTTTGAACGTTAACATAACGTTAATATTTCCGAAACAAAATGTCGACGATTAATCCGATAGTCAAAACCCAGAAGTAACGCCGCATCGTCAGAAAGTTCATGCAGATGGAAGAGGACGAAGTAGGATCTTATTACACACACACCACATACTCGTATATACACGCCATACTGCATTTACTTGACTTCGGTCCGTAAATGTGGTTTAAACCAGTGGGGGTCTCCGTCCGACATCCGTCCGAAATAATTACTGCCACATAAGCAATACTTGACCAAATGAAAAGACGCGTGATGCGAATGAAACTTCATACTGGACACTTGTCTTTTAATTTTGTCGAATATTACTTATTTGACAGTAATTGTTTCGGACGGATGTCGGACGGAGATCGAGAGAGCCCCCCAGCTAACAAGCTGAGAAGAATAAAGTAAATAATAATAATAATGTTTATTGACATAAAATCACAACTAATAAATTGGTCACAATATTTTTTTATAAGTTGAAGTTATGCAATCAAAAGAATATCTTGCCTTCTAAACTAGGGGATCCTATATCTTAGGAAGCAGTTTTTTGTGCATTTAGTTTTTTTTTAAATATTAATCGTTGTTAATACGATCGAGATTAATAAGATACTACGGCAAAAATGTCGTTAAAATCAAAGATCTGCAACAAACACAATGGAAAAATTCTTGAGGTCTGTTGGTTCGTTCCGTGGCTTAGTTGGCATAGATCTGGCGCACGTTTTTCTGGAAGACATTGGTTCCAATCCAGCTGGATCGAAGGATCTTTTTCTTTGTATTAATAATTATAACAAACTAGTGGAGTAATTTCACAAAAATAATTGAATACCGTTGTGGTTAAACATCGGGACATTCAATTGACTTCAAAATTACAATTATTAAAGCGACACTCTAGTCAGTTGCTGGTAGCTGTAAAGGTGCCTCACTAAGTGAAGAAATAGATTTTTAACAGATCAAATCATCAGAACAAAGGTTTTTTTTTACTTAAGTTTTTTTTCCTAAAATTGTCTTGTACCGCCAGTTTATAATCACCAGATGTAGTTTTTTTTTTAACTTTATGTTACAAAATCCACTAGTAAATACAGTTCCACTTTTCCTATGAAAAAATAACCTATTCACTTCTGTTGAATACGTTATTATAAGTTAAAATGGAACATAAATGTAAATGTCTTTTTTTTATAAAATTTTAATTTATTTTCCTTGGAAACACGGATGTATAGTCTAACGATACATCCTTCTCATTAGCGTTATTACATTCCACTTTTAGTTCTTTTAAATTAAATTTGTGGCAAATAAAAATAAACTGACACGGTTTCATGGGAACTATGTAGTAAAGTTTTAAATATTGTTTTAAAATTACATATACACATTAATACTTATTTCCTTGTTAAATTGCAATGCAAAATTACGATTTGAAGGTCACGCATATAAACTTAATTATTATTATACTTAGTTACTTGCAGGAAGATTGTATATAAATATTATATGTGTAAAATATTTCAAGCCTTCATATATGTATATATTAATAGCTGTTAGGTAGTCAGTTCTAACATATCTATGGTTCTACCTATCTACTTGAAGAGATAGCAGATCACTCAACCGACTGTAACAACCTTCTAGCCAAACAAATTTTGTTCAGACAGGTATCAGACGAACAATGTTGTTCAAACAATTCGAACATGTTTGAACAAGTGCAAAACAATTGTTCAAACTTTGGCACGCGGGACTGTTTACCCCGAATTTCGAAAAATAGCTTTTGTTTTTGTCTAAAATCAATTTTAGATTGTTATGATAAATGAAATACGCTGTTTATTACGAAACTTTAAATTCTTGTGAAGTTTTAAACAATTAATATTATTCACAATAAGCATGCCTATACCGCGCTTCTTAATGCGCAATCGGCTCGACCCTAAGAGAAAAAGCTATATATACATATATATATATATAATATGCAATAAGAGCGAAAAGGACAAATTGGACAAGAACATTGCTGGAGTTAGGAAGTCGCCACATACAATTTAAGAAAAGAGAGTTGCGCGTGGCGGTCCGAGCTCTTTTTCGCTCTTAAGGCCTATTCAGATATTAGCTACTGCTGTGCGTAGCGAAAAATGCCGCCAAATCTCGGGTATTTGTATAAAGGTCTGCGGTTAAAGCGAAACCGAAATTCCGCGCCATACCACTCAGGTCGGTGGTATCTGTTCCCTTGCTTACAAAACACACCCCGCAAGTCAGTTAGTGACGGTTAGTTGACACAATAGAAAGACTTAATTGCGATTTTGACGTCGAAACGGTAAAGTGATAAATTTATTGAGATTTCTCGTGCTCATTCACTGATAGCTCAGAAGCACCGTCAGGTCTAGACGGGCGAAAACCAAGAAAGTGGGTAGCGAACCCAAAGTGGTAGCGATATTCACTTAGATTTCAACAGTAGGAATACCGCACTCCACTCGGACTTCTCTACCCATAGTATTGCGTATATATGAATAGGCCTTTATTGCATGGATATAAAGCTTTTTCTGAACGGCTCAAGCTGATTCTGTATTAATAAGTGTGGTGAATCCCTTTATCGACGATGTAGCCGACAATGTTGCGCGTTTGTCTAGTAATCACCTTTTCACTCTCTTGTCTTGAACAGGTCTAAAATGAAGCTTCTGGAAAAACAGATGCCGGCAGTGTATTCCGTTTTTTATCGAAAAGAATTTATCTGTAAATGAATTTGAATAGCTGTTAAGTGATTTTAATATTTTATTTCAACAAAATCTATCTTTTGTTACAGTCAGAAGATCGTTTTGCGGCCTACAAGGGAGTCCGAGATGTTACCATAAAAAAAGTAAGTATTAATTCTTACTCCATACCTGTCCCATGCGTTAGTCATGACGAGGAGGGCATTATAGTTCTTCTCGCAACTACTTGAGGCGTCTGTAAAACTGCTGTACACATATATTTATTGAAACAAAGATAGAACAACGTAAAAAAATTCCTTCGATCTTACTGGATTCAAACCAGTGTCGGTTACCACTCCGGGGCCAACGCTCTTACCAACTGACCGAATTAGCAGATTTTACTAATCTCTCTATGTGCTTGTTGTAAATCTTGTTGCTATATAAATATTGTACACGATCTCTAACGGCTTCCACTGTTAAGCCCTGGTAGAGGTCAAGGCGTATTTATTACTAATTACTTCCTTGCTGGTGTCATCACACGTGATTAGATTTTATTTATGAAGAAAATAAAACCATAGAATGACAGTTAAGAGCCTATTAAAGCTAAAGGTAAATTGAGCATGACAATGCAACTAAAACGCAGTTCGGTCGTGTCTAGTTTGACATTGCAAAAAAAATAACTTTATTGTTCTACGACAGCTCAGAGAAGGTGATACGGCTGCGTTACGACGTGACATGTTATTTAATCAACTTAATTATTATTTAGTCGAATAAATTATTATTTACTTGACTAAATTGTTAGTTAGCCGGCTAAAGTAATACTTAGTCAACTAAATTGTTATTTATTTGCGTCTTTTCCACTAAAATTGTCTCTAATCGAAGAATTTCCTCCATTCTAACAGTATCACGGTACACAGTAGGTATCTGCATGCTATAGTGTCGAAATTGCTTTATCGTTAAAAATGTTTCCTACTCCCACATAAACGAATTCAGCTAATTTCGTACGAACATAAAATGTATTTAATATAATTTATTGTCGGAATACGTCGATCATATTTTCACACAGACTATTTGTACAGCGCATTTAAATATCGGAGTACGCGCAGTAACGCGTGTACGACGCGCTAGACAACTGTATTGTATAGTAAATACATATTATTAATTAATTAAGAATATATGCAGACCTTTATAAAAAACTTAAAAGCTCTACATAACCGGCTGATGAATTTCCTATTTCACTCGGCCGTGACCATAGAACCTGTAAAGGGCCCGAAAATTGATTGGTTTGAAAATACAAATACACACCATTTAGATCGGAAAAAATACTTTCGTTTCCAAAATTGATTTTCTCATTTTCTCCGTCGCTTCTGCTCTGTAAGCAGTTTGGTATATTTGGAAACCCATGAATTTCGGGTGCGTGGGCGTAAGTCAATGTAAGTTGTATAACCATGAAAATTAAAATGAATATTATATCAGATTACATGAGACGAGGAATGCAATTATGATCTTTAATTTGTTACTTTGCCTTTTTCCAGGGATCGGCCGGATTGGGAATAATGATAATCGAGGGCAGACATACGGAGGCCGGCCGTGGGATATTCGTGTCGGATCTGCAAGAGGGTAGTGCGGCAGAGCAGGTCAGGAGTATTATTATTGTTATTCTAAAACTCAATCAAGTTACTAACGAACCTAGAAATGATGGAACTGAGACAGTAGCTTCCACAAAAATTTTGCAACGTGGCAGGCGAATTCTAATTTGTTAGCTATCATTTGTCGACTTTGATTTGGACGTAGTTAAACAAAAAGCATCCAATGCATATCTAGTCAGATTTCGAGATATGGCAATTTGAAATTTATAATGTTTCTCACTCTTCATTTATTTTCAAAACTTATAATGTCATGTATGATGATCTAAGAGGTTACACTTTAGAAACCGTTTGGTACATATAACTCATTTTTTGATAATTTTGTGGATTGCATCCTTTTTGTACTACGTCCATTTGTGATTGACTATTTTTTGGATAAGCCGTCCATGAAACTTTGCGAATGTGTATTTTGAAACATACTTCAGGTCACATTTATTTGTTTACATGGCATTCAATGAAAGAAATAGTATACTAAAATATATTTATTTATAGAAGATCTTACACTGTAGATGCTGGAAGAGGTCCCCGGTTCGATTCTCGACTAGCTTAGGACGTCCAACGTAGGACCAACTTGTGAAATGAATTTTTCTACTCTGGGTATTCTCGGTAATGTCCTCATAGTACTGGAAATTCCCTAGTTTGAGACCATGTAATTGTTGTGGCTCCAACAGTGAAAGTCACCAGCTCAACATATCGCACCCTTAGTAATATAAGGGCACAATCCAAAAAAAGTAGATTTTTGGGAAATCGCGTATTAAGATTCTGAATTCCTACATTACACCTATTTTTTCAAATAATATGCTTATTATTTAAGTTATAAATATGAAATTTGGCAGATTTGTTCTTTGATAAATGTATTATAAATAGCAATAAAAAATATATATATAAATAAATTCCATAAGTTTCAAACAAGTTAAAAAAACACTTTCAAGTTAGACCCATATAGTACAAAAAATATAACAGAAATATGGAGCTATATAAGTTTGATCCCATTTATTATTTAAGTCCCTATCAATTCCCAAATTTCCCAAAAATCTACTTTTTTTGGATTGTGCCCTTATATTACTAAGGGTGCGATATGTGCCTTTATCTCTGGCGAGACTAAATGGTCGAGCAGTACTGGCGATCCCAATCCAATCTCGTATGTTCTGCAGACATGTTTTTTGGTTGGCTGACCTTCAAATAGGTTCGAAGTAAGCTGGAAGCTTGGAAGCTTCACGATAAGTTGCACTTGTGCCTTCCAAGAACCCAGGATTTCCATCGCAAAAGTGAACGCTAGAGGATATCAACTCATGATTATATTTATTTTTTGCGCTAATACATAAATTTATTTTTTTCAGGCCGGTCTGCAAATAGGTGACATGCTTCTGGCTGTCAACAGGGATTCATTGCTCAGCTGTAGTTACGATGCGGTACGTACCTACTGAATTTTACAACATCATCATTTATTAGATAAGTGTTCGTCTGTTCACCTGGCATACAAAATAATGCAAAATCATTGTTGTTATTTATTAACACTTCTATGTATATATTTTTATACATAGCCATTACTACAATTTAAACGTAATTTTCTTAAAGATCAGTTTGTTTTAAACTGTAGTTTGTTATAGAGTTGTTAGTTACTATAAAGTAATTATTTTGTTTACTTAGCTCATGATTAATCCGAAAATAATTGTCCGAAGTTTAACGTGTTTGTTTTACCTTTAGTCAGGGTTATTCAGCCATAGTAATATTATTTTGCCCAAAAACTAATTTGAATTTCCAGGCGGCAGCGAAACTGAAACAGACTGAAGGGGTGGTAATACTCACCGTATGCAGTCCAAATTTGAAGGACGACAAGACTGATGAAACGGCAGGAAGCTCTGGTCGAAGTTAGTATCATTATAAAATAGATAAATTGCCTTTTCAGAATTGGTGTAGCGTCCACCGTTTTTCTGTAGCTACTATATGTCTAGACAATCTTGAATTCTTCCTGTCATCGATATCAAATATATAATTAGTGCAAGTTTTTGACGACCTCCGTGGTCAAGTGGCTTGCACATCGGTTTCCAAGACGTCGCCATCTCTGAGGTCCTGGATTTAATCCCCGGCCGGGTCGATATAGAAAACGAACTTTTCTATATTGTCTCGGATCTGGCTGTTTGTGGTACCGTCATTGTTTCTGATTTGTATAACACAAGTGCTTTAGTTATTTACTTTGGGATCAGACTAATATTTATAATAATATTTATTTATATATCAAGTACAGACGACTTATTCTCCTATAACACTCAAAAACTGACAATAATGTAGTCACAAAATATAATTTCCTCTAGCGCGAGTAAAATTTTATCTTATCGGAATCAGCAAAAGGTCAACGTTGCAGTAAACTGCTGAAATGTTCGCATACGACGTTCGACATTTAAAACAAAAGAGGACCTGTTATCATTTAATTTTGTTTTTTGCATTTGTAACCAATTCCTGAAAAAAGTGAAAGCAATAATTCTTATCACGGTAATAACGTACCTGAAACTGGGGTCTGTAGAAAGTTTAGAGGCGTCAAATTTACTTAGTCTGAAATTCACACTAAAAATATAGATATACACATTCTTTAGTAGCAGTAGAGCTCCTTGGAAGTACTTCATCCAGGGAAGTACTCTCTCTCACCTTACCTATTTCTGCCGCCAAGCAGTAATCTGAGTATTACTGCATTTGAGTTTTGAAGGTGTACAGCAGTGCACCTCAGATCTTTGCGATTTAAAGCTCTGAGTGGCACTGCAACTGTTATGGACAGGCATGTCGCTTACCATCAGGCGCATGACTTGCTCGTCCCGTAACTTAGTACCATAAATAAAAATACCAATGCACCTATATCTGCTTTCTTATAGACGCTATATCGCGGCCAACCAGCAGAAACCAAACGCCTGATCCAAAGACTGGAGCTTCACGGCCGCAAACGCCGAGACCTGTGCCTTCACCTATTAAAGGTAACATAAATTTTCTTATCATTGATACCTGTAAAATGCTCGTTTACACAAGATACCATAGTTGCCAACCTGATCTTCCCTGGACAAGGGTCTGCCCAAACATGAAGGATGTTGAACATAGTGTATATGGCTCAGATACTGTAGAATATTAGCAGCAGCTTGATTTTGATTGCCGATCGGAAACTGCGTCTTTTCCGAGTCGAGGTGCATAATTGCGATTCACAGTTGTCCGATCGGAAACTTTTGACATTTCTAATCGAAACAATAGTTGATTTAACTCTCAAATTAGAAAGATTTAGTACAATTCAGGTTCATCTTCTCGCTCAGAAACCCACCTGATTTCGAAACTACCCGACAGGATCGATTCCAATTTGAATCAAAATCAGGACGCAGGCATTCAAATACCATATTCCGGATCTTTCGACGGTTTTCTTGAACGTGTGTGTTGATTGAAGAATGTTTTGACTTTAGTCATATGTATAAAATTCTGACAATATGATAATTACTTCAGCGGAACCCCCACCTGATCCAGCGATTGCCCCAATTGTGCCTAACCAAGATGTCGTCATCGAGATCAATTCGCAAAACGATATCCTCGGCATCGCTCTGCTTGGTGGCAGTGATACCCTGATCAATGTGAGTTACAAAACGTTTTATTTTGTTATAAAAAAACATAGCAGTTTATTTCCCTTTAAGGGTTCAGTTGGCGACGTGTTGCCGAAACCCACATCTATTACCACGACTGCTGCCCACGCGACGTCCAATTGAAAGCTCATAGCTTTGCTACTGCCCCGTCTTAAAAACCTCATCATCTATGCTCGTGTCGGGACAGTCACTAATTGTACCGAACGAAAATACTGGACAAGTAGTAATTCCGAATCCGAGAATAGGATACACTACATTTCTTGCAACCGTTAGTTTTTCACAACCAGCCTCAGGCTACTTTTTTGCGGTGGTCAATCTTCTTTATTTTACAGATACAAAATTGTGACGGGTGTTAAAATTGCTTTATTCTTACCTGTGGGCTCCTTGAACGATAAATGCTTTGTCAACATTTGTAATGGAATTCAAGGCGAGTTTTAAATGAATTCTTTAATGTTGCAGGGAGGAGCAGCTATAATCCTCGACATATATAAGAAAGGAGCAGTAGTGAAAGATGGAAGATTGAAAGTCGGAGACCAGATCCTCGAATGCAACGGAGTCGCTATCACCAAAGCTATGACCCACGAACGAGTTTGTTTGACGATAAAACAGAGGGCTGCCAAGGTAATAATTTGCGTTCTCGTTCAATTTTTGAACACGATGGCAAGAGATAGTTGAAACGACTAAGAAAACAAAAGCTTTTTTATATAATTATGTTCTGCGTGTCGGCACTGGATAGGTCTCTCAGTTTATTCTCAGTGTAACAAACAATCATCAGTCAAAATTATTCAAACAGACAAAGTTTGACGTCTACGCTCTCAAATTTTCTGAATTTGTGTGTTGAACGCATCTTGACTTGAGTTGTAAGTTGGTCGACCATTCGACCATTCTTCATCTTCGCGTTTTTCTTGTGGGAGAGCTTCGTCAATCAACTGTAGTAGGTATACTATATATGAGGTTAATTCCCATAAATTGTTCAGGATTATATATTTAGATTAGTATGTAGTTTGCATAGGATTTTTTTTTTAAATCTGGGCTAAATATTTTGTGAGAAGTCCTGTACAGAAGAGTAATACAAAGTCATGTAATAATTTTTAATTTTTCAGTTAAAAATGACGGTACACCGTCCAAATCCAATAAAATATCAGGATATTGAAGCAGAGCTGACGAGAAAGGGAGGGAAGACTCTAGGAATTACATTTGTATCACCAGTCCAGGGTACGGGGGTTTATCTTGGTGAAATGGTAAGTTTTGACATTTATTAGACTTAGTTGTCAAGCACTCTCATTATTTATTGTAAGGAACCATGTTTCCGTCAGAAGATTATAAGTATGATAAATGTATTTTTTTTCTCCTAACAAATTATTCAAAAAAGTAATGGGCTAATTAACTAGGAGAGTCCTGTGTCTTAGGACTACTGGTCTCCACCTCTTGGTTGAGCAAATTCTGTAATTAAGATTATTATGCAGAAATGTTATGTGGTTAGGGAATAATTTAATAGGTTGGTATAATGTTATTTGAGTGTTCTAGTACGTGTGCGCGTGTGTGTCTGTGACAGCGCGCGCGCGCGCGCGTGTGTGTGTGTGTGTGTGTGTGTGTGTGTGTGTGTGTTGTGTGTGCGTGTGCGTGTGTGTGCGTGTGTGTGATAATGCTTTATTGCATAATATTAACGGAAGTTATACCTATCTTAGTATAAATCTGTAATCTTTTACAGCTGGCAGGATCCCCAGCAGAACTAGACGGCAGGCTTCAAAAAGGCGACTTACTTGTCTCAGTTGATGGCAAAGATCTGTCCACAGCTGATTATTTGACAGTAGCAACAGCGATGAAGTTATGTGGCAACAAAACTGTTATAAAAGTGAAGAGATTTAAAACTGTTAGGTAAAATGTGTTGTATTTGTTGTTGATTGATTGTTTGTAAAGTTGGTAATACCATCTGTGGGTAATAATTGTTATCATTATAATTTAAAAGAAATTAAGTAAATTATTTCTATCCCAGGGATTGAATAGTAATCACCCATGGTATCTTTAGTACAGACTTGTAAATTAAGGTTGAACGCAATATAGAAAAAGTATAATGTAATTATTTTCTAGACAGCATAATTTCTCAATTTTTATTGTCTTGCGCGTGTCTGACGAGTACCTCAAAGCTATTTTAATTGGCTCACACATTGGTCCATTCACCGCTACGGACGCGTCTGCATTACTACGGACGAGTCTTTTCTCTTGGTGCGTGGATGCAAGCTCGTGAGAGGAGAACCGTAGAATCACGCACCGCGAGAAGACGCCTTCAAATGTTAGCGCAAAAACTATGGATTATATGCATTTACAGCAGAATCCACCATAAAAAAGTCATAGACCGATTACCGAACCAAAATTTTTTAAAGGTACGGAGATAGTTCGGATAGACATGGACCATACACATCATGGAGTCGCAAGCCGACTACAGATCAGTCAATACAGGCTAAAATATAAATTATGTATATACATACTCTATATTACTGCTCAATATGTATGGAAAAGCATCATTGAACAACATGAATTCATTTCAATCATTTGTTTCGGTAGATTTCTTAAATAATTTAGCGGGGATACTTTTCCATAGTGCTGGTACCTAAAAAAGAGATAGAAATAGAAAACTTACTTTAAAAAGGATTCAAAATAGTATTATTCTATTTAAAACTAAATGAGAGTGAAAGAGATGCCAATAGTCGTGTCAATTTAATTTAGACGTGTATTACACAACACTGATATTGTATTTTCTCTGTTAAACAAGGTCAATCTACTCATCAATATGAATAACTAAAATTTTAGGAACTCTTAAATAGAGATGAAAAAATAATGAGCTAAATACAAAACAATCATGGGCAAAATTCATGAAACATTTATTTTGTTCTTGTTTTCATGGTGTCATTTGCCATGCCATTTCTGAGATCCCGTGTTCGATTCCCGGCTGAGTCAGTGTAGAAAACCTAACTTTTCTATATTGTCTCGAGTCTGGGTGTTTCTGGTATCGTCGTTGCTTCCGATTTCCATTACACAAGTACTTTAGCTACTTACTTTGGGATCAAAGCTACGTATATGATGTTATCTAACATTTAATTATCTTGCTCTTAACTTTGACCTCGTTTAACGTCGCTATTTTATTAAATAACACCCTGTATTTGTATAAAATCCAGAATCTGTTCATAAATATGTGCAATACCTTTTTCTCACGTACATAACGAAAAACGTGTGAAAACGTTTCATGATTTTCAGGTCTTTTTTCCAATACGTTCCATTTTCAAATTAATGAACTATCCAAAAGTGACTAGACAATAAATATCTCTGATAATATAAATCACGATTCCGCTTTTTTTTGTGTCATTATGACCATTGCATTAGATACAAATAATTTATCCTATACTTCGTGTTAAATGTGTATAAAATTCCAATCAGATTTGTTTTGACCAATTGTAAATCATAATTATGTGCCCTTTATCATAGAATGCAGTAGGTAATTCAAACTGTACAACCATTATGGTGTTAGAGACTGTATTAACGACGAATTAACTTATTGGAAAACGTAAACAAAACCCTGTTTACGTATTGATTTACATTACTAGTTAAAAAGTTACAATAATCGTTAAAAACTTATGTTAGTTTCACGAAAATTGCGCCTACAGCATCTTTTCTGCCAATCCGCAAGCCGGCGACGACGCCGTCGTAGCCGATTGGTTGGTAAGTAGTATCACGTCATGTGCAAACATTGAGATTGGACCAACATCACGTGATACGAAGTGCATTTTGACAAATTAAAATTATTGGTTACGAAAATTACGTACTGTATTCTTATTATGAACTACATAGTTGTGGCTACTTTACAGCAATTCTTAATAATCTCATTAGCTCTGAGATTATCATATCGTCTTTAGTATCCTTGTTACCATAGACATACAGCTAAGTTTAATGGAACTCTAATTATTCCTTTATAAAAAAAAACAATATTTATGGTTCACAGATTTACGATCCAAAAAGCAAAAATGTGATGTGTCCTAAACCTTTACTAGTTTCGTGTTTATAACTAAACAAGAATTTGCGTTTCAGTATTTATAACTAACAAAGTTAAGATCTGTATTTTTTAATATTAGTGAAATATAGTAGAAAATAGTCTTATTTTTGTTAGACTTATTTTTAAGGCCGAAAAAACCCTTTGTTTGTAGCCTGTGTTAGATTATTTTGGTTTAGCTATTTTTAGATTTGGGTTTTAGGTAAAATTCCATTATAAATAACATTTACAGTGCTACCGACTTCTTTTTTATATGGCAATAAAATAACTCAGAACGTTAAAGTATTAGTTACTACGTTAACTAACTATATAGACGCTAGCTTCACCACTGTTTATGACCCGGCTGCAAGGTCGACCTTCACCGCGAGTAACCTTGCTCAAGTTAAGTACACGTATTCTTGCATGCTGTGTGAATGATTTAACACACTGTTGGTACGCGGTTTGGGCGAGCTACAGTATTCCCTAAAATACACGTGTTTGACTTACGCAAGTATACTCGCGGCAAGGTTTGATCGTGTGAACGGGTCCTTAACACCGATAAGTTGCTAGCTCTGTACTTAGATTTAGTTTTTTGGCTTTTTAGTAGATTCAAATGCAAAATGAACTGTATACCAATTTTAAACAATTACGACCATGTGACAATACCTATTGTCTGTCAAAACAGTCAATATTTTCTGTTTTAGTTCTTGAGTTTTTTGTTGTTGTTTATTATAGGTTTGTATGTAATTTTTTTTTTATGCTTCAAGTAAATTTCAAAATTTAAAGGACATGATAACGATAATCTAGTTAACAAGTCTAATTATTTCGCTTATATTCTGTAACAGTATTGAATTTTGAGGCTTCTGTTTAAAAACCCAATTTGACAGATATAAAAATTAGTTGTCCTTTTTGCTAAGTAGGTACTGATTTAAATAGAGCTATTTTTTACACCTTTGAAAAGCCTTTTCACACGGACACTTTTTACGTCTTGGGCTCCGTTGTGACGACTACAATTTGCATCTGAATCTAAATTGAAAGTGTAAATTTTTAATATAAACTTCTAGTCTGTTCTCTAAGAAAATTAATATGTTCTATTTATAATTGCCTTTTAGATAACAATATACATAATAAAAAGTAAACTCATATTCCAATTACTATAAATACCAATGCTTGAAAGCTAGGAGAAGAATAAAGTAGATTTGTTTACATATTTATTCCTTTCGTACGTTGAGATAAGATGTAAACAATTTAAAATAGAAATGTAAACTTGTGTTTTATATTTGTATTATGTGTGTATTTTTGTTGCTATCTAAAACGTGTTAAACACTTTATTTATTTACTCTTGGGATGGTTTACAGCAACTTTGTGACTCGAAATAAATAAATCACCATCAACCCATTTATACGTCCCACGGCCGGGCACGGGTCACCTTTCAGAGTCATAGTCCGCCACGCTGGCCCAATGCGGGTTGTGAACCTTCTTCAACGTGCAGGTTTCATAACGATGTTTTCCTTCAATTGCAAATTTAATTTCACACATAAATTCCGAGAAACTCAGAGGCGCGAGGCCCGATTCGAACGCACGGCCCTCCGCTTGACAGGCAGTAGGTCAAACCATTACGCTACCACTGCTTCAATAAATATTAACAATTATAACTTTTTAGTTATAAAATGTTCGTTATAAACAGTATAGATATTAATATTGCAAAATTCATTATGTATTAAACTTTTTACATTGACTTTTATATTTTGTTTACATCTTTGTTTATTTAATGTTTACATCTTATCCCAAATCTTTATTCGCAAATTCTTTCTATCTACTAAAAAATCCTATACAATTTAGAACTGTTGAATTGTAAATGATCTAAAGTTATTCTAAAGTGTAAATACACTTGTTCATACGAATTGAACAATAAAATTGAATGAAATGCATTTAAACATAAATAAAAATTGCGTAGCATAATTCTAAAAAATGTATAGTGTACAAAATGTTTTCTCTAGATTTAAAGAAATGTAAGTAATTAATTTTTATGAGATTTTTATTAAGAACATTTGAACTATATTTGGATAAGTAGAATTTAAAACACAGAAAAAACAATTTATTAATGTTATTTATGACGTCAAATATTTAGGAAATGCAACCCATATAAATGTTGAATTTATGTTGTTAACTCGAATGAGATGAAATAAACTTTGTGAATAGCACACAAATGTGAAAAATGAGTTTTTCATAACAAAAACCACTATTCAACACATAACAACAATAATGAACAACACATTGTTGTAGTCATTTCTAGTGCATTTTTCAAAATAATTTTTGCCTGTACTCGGATATAATTCACTGTAGATGCCAGTGGCGAACGGTCCACATCACTTACTAATTAAATACCGACGTAATTTCTTACGTCTTTCGCAGACTTTTTTTGCGTCTTTTGTAGACTTAAAAAATGAACATTCTCCATTAATCGTACGTTTATTTAAGCAATTTTTATTATTAATTTAAGTGTTCTAGAATATTAAAACGAAATAATATTTAATATTCGAATAGAAATATTATTATTTAATATTCGTAATATTCTGAAAAATAATTTAATGTTTCACTGGCATACTTAAAATAATAAAAATTGACACCGAAATAAATAAACACTAAAATTACCCTTAAAATAAGGACCCTTAAAGTGATAATACGTTGACTTTGCTGATTTTACTTACCTACACAAAATGACCACATTTCGTCACTGGTACGTATTCAAGATTTTTGTCCTATATTTTTCTTAATAAGATGCAAACATACACCGTGAATATTTTGTTGTTATTATTATTATTAATGTAAATTAATTTACATAACTTTAGTTATAAGTATTATTATTCCAAAAGGGTTAAGAACCACAATAATCAAAGTAAAGTACACTTCACGTAGTTAGGAGTTATTTAAAATTATAGTAGACAATTGTATTGCATTCTTTTATTTGCATTAAATCATTCATTTTGTTGCTTATATCACTACGATCGAAAAAAGTACATTTACGTGATGTTACATTTTAAATAACTCTGATGCACCTCATGTACTATTAATATATACGGAACCATTTTAAATTTAAAAAGGTACCTGTAAACTCTATCTATAGTTATTACGACAAATCGGAATAGCGTATTCACCTAAATCTCTAGTAATGCATATATAGTGGATAATACCTGCCTTCGAAATTCCGGAATGATTAAAAATAAATATCAAAACAATTTTTTTTATATTTTTGCTTACAATTACAATTTTTTTTCTATATAAGTAAAACGTACGGCGAAAAAACTCCCACCTACCTTCCTGACTAATCAACAGGCTACCACTGCAATTACGTAATGCCTTCAAAGCAACTGTGCTATCGACAGCAAAGTTATCGCTTTCGGGCGACACACAGAACTT